TAATGGTCACCATTGCTTTCCTAGCATATTAAGTCCAATCCACTTGTTTTAAGTTCTGCATAAAACTTGCGAGAACACACGTTATCACCTCTGTGCTTGCTCTGTCCTTATTATCGACGCATCCGGCATTCCGTTCAGTTAAAAATAAGTTAAAAGTAAATTCACTGCAGTCTTAACAACAGCATTGTATTTAAGCTATACTTTAGGCGTCCAAATATGCTGTTATTCTTCATCAGTAAGATGATCAATGCGGCCTACATCGGTGGCCATTTTCGCTGTTGTCGTTGGGATCTGAATTGTGACTTCACCTGCGTCACGGAGAAGGCCCCGCCATCCAAATGTTTTCATTGGTTGAAATTTTATAAGCTCCGCCTATAAATATTCATAAGGGAGTAGTCTTCTTTATGTCAGGGAGTAGTCCTTTCTTGCATGGAGTAGTCCTATTTTATGGAGGGAGTAGCCCTAATATGGAGAGATTTAAGTGATTTTAGGGAAATATGATATTTTAACGTGTTGTTTTTATATAGGGAAAGAAGGGGTATAATAATCAAAGATAATGTCGATCGGAAATATTGCTCGCCATATACCTTTGGATAAGTTAATAAACTTTTCAAGACTCTTCAAGATATTGCGAAATTATAATTTGAATAATTTCCAAAGAGGCTATAACATTAGTGCAGGCGAATTCGCCATGCACCCAAATTCGCGTGTAACAACCCAATGCTTGTTAACGGAAATGACACTTGGAAAGATAACTCATTTTCCATTTTTGTTGAACCTTTTTCGTTGCCACATTAATCAGTGATAATAATGCCTTATGTAGTTAATCAAACCCAGTAGTATGGTCTAGTCTCTTCAATTCAGGAAAGTTATACATTCAATATAAATCATTGTTATCCACGCACATTTGGAGCTGTTCGTATCAGTACGACTTGCGTATCATACAAATACATGTTCAAAATTTAACAATGTGGCGAAACTGCATGCACCTTTGAACAAAACCAATGGAAGGCCTGATGACGTCACAAATGTTTCTTTGTGATGTCATTCAGGCGCGTTTACAATAATACTAATTTATAAGCATTTCAGTCAAATGTTTAAAAAAAACATGTATTTTGCCGATTTATTAACTGAAAACCTTACTTATTTGACGAATATACCTTCACTAAAAAGTGCATTCGTCAAATAAGTAAGGCTTTCAGTTAATAAATCGGCAAAATACATGTTTTTTAGCGATGTGTGCCATGCGTGCACGCCATCGGTAAACAGGATACATGAATGCATAGTTAAGCAGCTGACCTCCCAAATATATTCTATTTTGTCACATGCATTAACGTCATGACAGCAATCCTACTATAAGTTCGTAGCGTGTAATTAATTTATATGATGTTATCTACTCAACTTATATATAAAAAAACAAATGTCAGAATATGTAAGCACTGCAGAAATGCAGTAATAGTCAAGTATTAAGCAGTGTTGTATAAATTACTTATAATGACAATAGATTATAAACATCAAAGGTCTATGCTATCGCTAGGTGTATAGCACAGTCATTGTCAAAAATAACGATACAGGTAAGAAGTTTATAAGTATTATACATACATGTGACTGATTTATAGCATTCTAACAACCCATCAACACAAAAGGTCATACAGGGTAAAACGATTGATCTAAAGGGAGATAATCAAGATGGAGACAAATATAGCAAAACATGCACTTTCAAAATCACCTTTTTACGAAGGTACAACTTTATTTATATACATACTTAATACTTATATTCCCTTATATCGATACCAAAACATCGATATCATATGTCTCCACCCGCCCCC